ACTAATATAAGTTTAAAAGAAATTAAATTTGTTAAAAATTTAAATTTTTTTCACTTCCAAAGTTTCATTTGTGATAAATATGAAAAACAAATAATTCAGAAGTCTGTTTCGAAATTCGAATGGTTAAATAATAAATATTATAAGTTTAAATTTAATAAGAAAATTAGTAATAAGTGGATAAAGAATTTGTCGAAAAAAACTGTTCCAAAAGATGTTTTATATTTTTTGAGCTTAGGCGAAAAATTCTATACGAATCAACACAATAAGGCTATGATAGTTGAAGAAACGTTGTCTCTTGTTGAAAAAAAAATCAATAAGAAAAAACTAAATGATTTTAGAAGTAAGTTGTGTAATAAACTTCAATGATATTCGCAAAATAACTATAACATTTTGAGTAATTCCATGATTAATAATATCGGTATAAAAGCTAATAATTTTCTTAGAGAAAATAAAGATATTGTTGTTTGTAAAGCCGACAAAGGCAACACAACTGTTACTTTAGATAAAAAAGAATATGGAGATAAATGTTTGGCATTATTACAAAAGACACTAAAGTTTATACAAAATTAAAATCAGATCCAACCCAAATTATTCAAAGACAACTAAATACAAAAGTATAACATCTTTTAACAAAAAACTATATAAATTGACCTATGTCTAAACATTTACATTCATACAATTCAATAGCTCCAAAATTTTATGGATTACCAAAAATACATAAAGAATTATGTCCCATGAGACCTGTCACATCTTTTTGTGGGTCTCCCACCTACAATTTGTCTAAATTTATTAGTATCCCTATTCAAAAAGTTATTAACAAAACAGAATACCACGTAAAAATAGTTTTGATTTTATTAAACAAATTGAAAATAAAAAAATTACACCTAATTGTAGATTAATTTCATTAGATGCAAAATCTCTTTTTACTAATATTCCTAAATCATTGGTATTAGAATGTGTAAAGTTAAAATGGCGTAAAATTATACAACATACCAAACTTCCTGATAACGTCTTCTTGGATATCTTAGAGTTTTGTATTGACAATGCCTATTGTTCTTTTAACAGAGAATTTTATAAGAAGATTTTTGGAACACCTAAGGGTTCACCAATATCGGGCATCATAGCTGACCTTGTAATGGAAAATTAGAATCAGATGTTTTAATAAAATTAAGTTTTCCATGTTATTTTTATCGCCGATATGTTGATGATATTTTTGTCATTGTTGAGGAAAATAACATTAACAATTTACTTACTGCTTTTATATTTGAACAAATATAATGAAAATATACAATTTACTATAGAAATTTAAAATAATAATTCTATTAATTTTCTTTATGTCACAATCATTAGAGAGAATGATTCTATGATCACCAACTGGTATTATAAGGATACCTTTTCTGGCAGATACGTTAATTTTAATTCAAACGTGTCAGAAAAAGATAAGATATCTATAGTATACGGTCTGGTGGACAGAGCATTTAGGCTCTTTAATGTTAAATTTTATGAACAAAATTTAAATTTTGTTTTTAATACTCTTAAAGAAAACAATTATTCCTCATCTTTTTTTATCAAAACATATAAATATTAGATTTCAAAAACTCTTCTCTACAATTGAACTACAAAAAACACCGTTCGACACAAGTAATATTATTGCTTTACCTTTTGTAAATGAATAAAAATCTTTTTTTGAAAACATTTATATAGACTATCATGTTAAAGTCGTTTTCTTTTATGAAAAAGATCCCTTTAAAGTTTTTTCAAAAAATAAAGACATTACAAATTTCCAATATAGGAATCACATTGTTTATAATATTCCATTTCAATGTGGAGCCTGTTATATTGGTGAAACAAGTAATTACATTAAAGACAGAATCTATCAACATAAAAGAGACTGCAGACTTGATAACAGAAGTACTGCTTTAGTCATTCACGCACATGACCAAGATCACAATTTCCGGTTTGAAAATACTGAAATTATTTGCACAGAATTGAATCACAAAAAAAATTATTTAAGGAGATGTTTCACATTTTGAGAAATAGTAATTCAATTAATAAAAAACTGACTTAACATCTTTAAATCAAATATACCACTCTCTTATTGTAAATACTAATTAATATTGGTTATAATATAATAATATAATAATATGATGATAATATAGAAGTATGTTATTTCAACATTGATTGTATTATAATTAATAATATAATTGATGTTAATGCTGCTGTTATTGATTTTTAATTATTATTATTGATATTGTTATTATTGTTATTTTAACCTAATTTTGAATCACACGCACTATAGTGATATAGTAGATCACTCAGTTATCAACTAATGTGAATATTATAGATTTTACATCATTAATCATACCCATAAATGATAAAGCAGATTTTTAATTGTTTAACAAATTTAATTTCTTTTAAACTTATATTAGTATCCGTTGAAACACGTGTTTTGTACAACACATATCGACACATAAACATCGTACAACATAATTTGAATTATGTTTGGTTTCACGGAATTTTTAGGAAAATTATTTTTCTATTATAATTTTTATTATTTTTTTATTTAAAATTATTAAATGAGAGTGGAAATCCATATTGGTGAGTTTGAGATTATGTTTATCAATTTAATTAAATTTTATTTTTATAACAAACTCAAAAAATGTAAATTTAATTTCAGTATTTAAATCTGATGAGGCCCGACGTTGACGGGCGAAAGCTCATTTAATAAGAATTTTAAAAATAAAATGTTGATTTTTACCAAAAACAACTAACATCTTGACTAAATTATGTAAATCCAAAAAAATTATCATCTATACCTATATGTAATATATTTCAATAGTTTAAATAAAATAAGGTAGTTGAATACATAACGAATTTTAAATATATTAACCTAAGTAGTGTCAAGCGGCCATCACTGGGATATTCGTGCGACCACCATTGGGACCTTAGTCAATATTTTCGGCTATGACTGGTACATTGAGACATTTTATTTTATATTGTTATTTTTAACCTAATTTTTTAAAAATTTCTGTTTTCTTATTAAGTGATTCCAAAATATCTAATGTTTATAGAAAGCATAAAATCTTCATTTTTTATACTTGATAAGTCTTTTAAATAAATTTTTAAAGTTTGAATTTTCCTTAACCCTTTGCGTCACAGTGGGTCGCTCAGCGACCCACCTTTGGTTTTTCACTATATTACAATTCTATTTCATATGAATTCGCTTGAAAATCGTTACTCGGGGGTTTTCGGGGTCGCTGATTACGAATCTGATGTCAGTTTTTAAAAATTCAAAATGGCGGATCCAATATGGCGGACATAAAGTTGAAAATTGACTGAATTCACTTGAAAATCGTTACTCGGAGGTTTTCAGGGTCGTTAAATACGAATCCGATGTCAGTTTTTTAAATTTCAAAATGGCAGATCCAATATGGCGGACGAAAAAATAAAAAGTCAACACATTCGCTTAAAACTCGTTACTCGGGGGTTTTCGGGGTCGCTGATTACGAATCTGATGTCAGTTTTAAAAAAATCAAAATGGCGGATCCAATATGGCGGACATGAAGTTAAAAATTTACTGAATTCGCTTGAAAATCGGTACCAGGGGTTTTTCAGGGTCGCTGAATACGAATCTGATGTCAGTTTTAAAAAATACAAAATGGCGGATTGAATATGGTGGACATGAAGTTGAAAATTGACTGTATTCGCTTAAAAATCGTTACTTGGGGGTTTTCAGGGTCGCTGAATAAAAAAATAAAAATAGAATTTCAGAATTTTAAATGTTTAAATAGAAATAATAGATGCTTATCTTTAAATCATGTACCTGACAACCCTTGGATTAGTAACCTGTAAAAATAAACATTTTTTACACTCAGCAGTATTGTTATTTACAAAATTGTTAGCATTTATGTTTTTGTAACTGAATCCAATGTATACCTTTTTTTACTATCATAAAGATTGTTGACGATCGTAATTTGTTTTATTTATAAAAATAAAAAAAAATAAATAAATAAATAAAAAAAACAAGGTGGAACCAAAATCTTGCCATGTCCACGTCGTTGGTTCTGGGTAACGCTGAGAGCAGGATAGATAAAAAAAAGAAATTATTATTTTCGAAAACTGACATGAGATTCGTATTCAGCGTCCCCGAAAACCCCCGAGTAACAATTTTCAAGCGAATCTAATCAATTTTAAACTCCAAGTCCGCCATATTGGAACCGCCATTTTAAATTTTGAAAAACTGACATCAGATTCGTATTCAGCAACCCTGAAAACCCCCGAGTGTCAATTTTCAAAGAAATTCAGCCAATTTTTAATTTTTATGTCCGCCATATTGGATCCGCCATTTTGAATTTTTGAAAACTGCCATCAGATTCGTATTCAGCGACCCCGAAAACCCCCGAGTATCGATTTTCAAAAAAATTCAGTCAATTTTTAGTTTTCATGTCCGCCATATTGGATCCGCCATTTAAAATTTTTGAAAACTGACATCAGATTCGTATTCAGCGACCCCAAAAACCCCCGAGTATCGATTTTCAAAAAAATTCAGTCAATTTTTAGTTTTTATGTCCGCCTTATTGGATCCGCCATTTTGAATTTTTGAAAACTGACATCAGATTCGTATTCAGCGACCCCGAAAACCCCCGATTAACAATTTTCAAGCGAATTCAGTTAATTTTAAACTCCAAGTCCGCCATATTGGATCCGCCATTTTGAATTTTTAAAAACTGACTGCAGATTCGTATTCAGCGACCCCGAAAACCCCCGAGTAACAATTTTCAAGCGAATTCAGTTAATTTTTAACTCCAAGTCCGCCATATTGGATCCGCCATTTAAAATTTTTAAAAACTAATGTCAGATTCGTAATCAGCGACCCCGAAAACCCACGAGTAACAATTTTCAAGCTAATTTAGTAAAAAGAAAAATGTGTGACTTAAAGGGTTAAAGTGTCTACGTCTGGGACATTTACTATTAGCTTTAAGAAAAGAAAGAAAATTTACCTGTACTAGTTCCATGCTGGAAACCTGAATATCGAAAGGGTCTGCTCCAGGACTTACTATTTTAACAGTGAAACCCATATCCTGAATAAATACTACTTCTTGTTCATTTGAAGAGTCTTTATCTTTATCAGCCTCCCCATCTTTATCAGATTTTTCTTTAAGCTTATCTTTCTCTTTTTCTTTCTCTCCCTCTTTGGTAGCTTCAACTTCTCCTTTCTCAAGAACATTTTCAAGGGCACCACTAGCATTGCCAATTTTTTCTCCGTTTTGATTTGCATCTGAAAATTAAAATTTCGTTTAGATATAGTTTTCACACACTTATAGATAAATTTTGATTTCAAAAATAAAAAATTTTTAAAATAACAAATTGTAATGATATCATAACGTTGAAGAATTCATGGTATTTAGGATCATGAAAGAATATTAGCAAATTTTATACTGGATGACATAAAGCAAAAGTGCTTAAGAGAATTTACTTTTGATCTTCCTTTTTTCAGATATGTCGATGATATATGTATTTACGACTGAACCGTAAGTAAGATTGACAACTTCCTTCAACTTTTCAATAGTAATTTCAATAAAATTCAGTTTACATATACGTAAAAGCAAATAAGCAATGAAACTTTTTTAAAAGTAACAATGATTTAATATTTATTAAATATAAAAAACCATTACAATAGATACTCATTATAAATATTATCTATTTTAATCAAATTCAAACTTGCCTCAAAATTATTCATTATATTAATTAATTCGAATATCGAGAGATTAAATATCTATAATGATACTAAATTTAAATAAGTAGATGTTTGTCCTACAATTGAGTAACTGAATACTGAATTCAGCCTAAAGAGCTGCATACTATGTCTGGATATTCATTGTTTTTTGACACATTTCAAATAATTTTTTAAGCACTCTCCTAATTTACGAGTTACAAGAAAGTTCGATGGAAATAGTACGGCATTTAAATACCTACTATTTACATTGTGCGTTTATTTATAAGCATCGATGGCTGCAAGAGCATCTTTTAAAAGGCACATTTCTCTTCTAGCTATATTTATGTGCATCTACCCAGTGTTACTTTAACAAATATCACTCCTTAACGAGGTTAAGGGTATGAAGAGATATCATTTCGCATATAGTAATTATGATGAATATTTCGCCAATTTTAGTAATATGGTTCATCTGGGTGTTTATTTGACTGGAAATTTTTTTTCCGTATAAAATTAGAATAAAGTTGTAGTCCTAAAATTTTAATATAACCATAACCATTTTAACTTATGATTAGAGAAAAATCGGGGGAATTAGAGCTTCGTAAGAGACAAGAGAAACAAAACCGACTTGATGTTTCAATAAAATGTTAATTCGGCCATAAACTAAAACTTAAAAAATTGATATTTGTACACGGAGAAAAAAAGAGTAATAATTGTAACATTTTCTATCAAAAATTACTACTTTCGAATATTAATTTGGGAACTTCTCAAGAAATAATAACTTTTATTAAAAGCTAAGTAATATTTAAAATGTCAAGCTATTAATACTAGGAGCGAAGCAACTTTTATTATGAAGCGGAGCAATTATTACTATTTCCTAAGGATTTTTACTAGAAAAAGTAGTAATCCGTACCACTACAACGACGCGCCTCACATCGACGCGTGTGAACACTGAAAAAAATGTATTTGATTCAAATACTTCAAATTATTTGAAAAATATTTAATTGGTTCAAATACTTTTTATTTGGATCAAAAACATATGCATTTGATTCAAATAACTTGAATTATTTGAATCGCATTTATTTGAACTAAATAAATCGTATTTGGTTCAATTAAATAATTAATTGAATTGAATAAATTAATTTATTTAATACAAATAATGACTTACTTGAAACTATTCATTCATTTATTTCACTCAAATATTTGGTTTGTTTGATACAAATAAAAAGTATTTGACACAATAAATTTATGTAATTGATTCAAATAAACTGAATTATTTAATGCAAAAATTTGTTATTTAATCCTCATACACTATTTTATCAAGAGAAATAAAAAAATATTTCAATTAATTAAATATTTATTTGAAACGATAATAATGATTTACTTGAAACAATTAATTTATTTATTTCACTCAAATATTTCGTTTTATTGAAACAAATAAAAAGTACATATTTGATACAACAACTTTATTTAATGGATTCAAGTAAACTAAATTATTTAATACTAATACACTATTTTATCAAAGCAAATAAAAAAATATTTCAATCGATGAAATATTTATTTGAAACGATAATGATGATTTACTTGAAACAATTAATGTATTTATTTCACTCTAATATTTCGTTTTATTAAAACAAATAAAAAGTATTTAATACAATAACTTTATTTAACTGATTTAAGTCAATTAAATTATTTAATACTAATACACTATTTAATAAAGGTAAATAAAAAAATATTTTAATCAATTAAATGTTTATTTGAAACGAAAATAATGAGTTACTTGCAACTATTGGTTTATTTATTTCACTCAAATATTTCATTTTTTTGATACACGGAAAATTTTTTAGTGCATTAGATGCACAATCTACGGTAGAACTATTGTACTATGGATTGAGAGCAACTCTTATCCTGATTTGGTGCGTCTGAAGCACTGTAAGGGACATTAGACGTACTGTAGGGGAAATAGGTTGCACCAAACCGGGATAATTGATGTCCATTTTTAAAGTACAAAAATTTTTAAACTAACCAAGACCGCCGGTACACCAAAATTGTTTTCGTGTACAAATAAAAAGTATTTGATACAATAGATTTATTAATTCTAATTAATTAAATTATTTAATATATATATTAAATAATTTACGCATTATTTATAAATAATGCGTTATTTAATGTTAATTCACTATTTTATTAAAGGAAAATAAAATATTTTGATCAATTAAATATTTAAGTGTAATGAGAATAATGAGTTATTTGATACTATTCATTTATTTATATATATTATTTATTATTCTAAGTCCAAAAGTCAAATATTTTTTCATCAACAAAAAATTAATGTTTACAATGATTCAGAACAACGAAAAACGCGTTTTTAATAAAAATATATTTACACTTTTTTTGAAAATTCACTTGGGATGATTCATGATAATAATCATGAAGCATATAATTAATTATATTTTATAAATTGCATTTAATTGGAAAATATAATTTAATATCTTAATTTTAACTAAATGATGTTAAGCACTTTTCTGAGTTAGGTCTTTTGCAAGTTTAAATGACATCAAGAAGTTAACATTCATTTTCACGTATAGCGTAGTTGGTAAAGCGTTAGACTCATAATCCGTAGATCGTAGGTTCGATTCCCCCCATGCGTTAGATTTATTTATTTCTCAGGTTTGCGTTTAATCATTAATTCTATGTATGAATTAGTTGAAAAATGAAAATATGCGATCATAGTTTGCAGAAATTACATATTTTTTAATTTATTTATTTGAGTAAGAATTTAATTTAGAAATGAAAGAATTAGTAAATAAATATGGAGATAAGGGATTTCACAGAAATAAAACTTCAAGTGATACTCACCAAATTGAATGAAAGTACAAAAATTTCATAGAAATATGAAAGAAAAGAAATTTTTTCAAATCGGCAAAGTTTCGATTCTAATGGTGGAAATCACCCTTTTAGAAGGAGGAGAGGGTTAAAAACAAAAAATTTTAAAATCTATTAAATTCCCCTGAAATTTGCTACTCATGGGTTTTAGGGCTCGCTGATTACGAATCTGAAGTCAGTTTTCAAAATTCAAAGTGGCGAATCTAACATGGCTACTAAAAAAATTTTTGGTTGCCATACTGGATCGGCTGTTTTGAATTTTCAAAATTATACTTTATTTTTATAATCAGCGACCCTAAAAACCCCCGAGTAGCAAATTTCAAGCGAATTTATTACCAGGGATCATCGGACACTTCTATGATGGGCGACTATATATGGAACTTAATGCGTGAGGATACATCTGAAAAAACGAAAAAAATTATAAGAAATATTAACTTTTCAGCTAAAGTGTCTTTTGTAAGTGTTAATTCAAATAAAAAATTATGTTTAAATTAATTAATTTTATTATTCGTAAACCGATTAATTAAACACCGAAAAGTGCAAAACTCACAAAACTTTACATTAAACATAGACGCTTAGTTTTTTGAAGGTATAATATGGATTTTTTTTCATATTTTATGTAGTTTTAAGGAAAATAATCAAGAAAGTCACTTAAACAAAAAAATTTTTAAATTTTGTCGGACAGTGTTATTCAATAGACAGTTTTTAACACCTAAACTTTGTAAAGTAATTAAAATTTGAAAATGAACATATATTATTATCAATTTAATTTTCATTTAATGATTTATTTATAAATTAATATATTGACGTATATTGATGAATTTAAATTGAACAACAAATTTTTATTTACCATAATAAATTAAATTAACAACTTCGAAATTATTTTGATTTTTTTGCTTATTTCGGTTTTTAATTTTAAAGTATTTTCTTAAAAACTTAGAAAATTTATTGATTATTTTGCTCTCTGTTTATTAATTCAAAACTATTTTCTTAACAACTTAGAAACAATTTGGATTTTTTGGCTCTTCGCTTTTTAATTTAAAACTATTTTTCTAAAAACTTAAAAATATTTTGGATATTTTTGCTCATCAGTTTTTAATTTTAAAGTTTTTTCTTAACAACTTAGAAACATTTTGAATTTTTTTGCTCTCCAGTTTTCAATTTTAAAGTATCTTCTTAAAAACTTAGAAACATTTTGGATTTTTTTGCTCTCCAGTTTTCAATTTTAAAGTATCTTCTTAAAAACTTAGAAACATTTTGGATTTTTTTGCTCTCCGGTTTTCAATGTTAAAGTATTTTCTTAACAACTTAGAGACATTTTGGATTTTTTTGCTTTTCAATTTTTAATTCTAAAGTATTTTTTTAAAAACTTAGAAACAATTTGGATTTTTTTGCTCTGATAACTATTTGTTATCAAATCTAGACGTTTTTAAAAATTAATCCTCTATTTTGGTTCCGTTTTTAAAAATTTTTGAAAAGTGACATCAGATTCGTATTCAGCGACCCAAAAAACCCCTGAGTAACAATTTTTAAGAGAATTTGATAGACTTAAAGAAAATTCCGCCATATTAGATCCGCCATTTTTAATTTTAGAAAATCAACTGGGGTTCCATTTGAAAGCAAAAAAATATGGTCCAATGAAAATTTTGAATTAAATGAATTTATCAGAGTTGACCACT